CGTTTAGAAGTAGAAGCAAACCAGGACATATTGTAACGTGATTAATGTCAACTAAAAGCCAGAATTCCTAGCAATATTTCGACCATATATTGAAGCCAATGGTTCTACCAAAGTTATCTCAGCAAATTTATTACTCCATCTCACAATATTTGCTCTTTTTTTACTAAATTTTTGCTTTACATTATCATTAACTATCATTTTTTTTTTTATTTCTCATTATATAACCTTGTAGGAGAACCCTTTAAAAAAAAACAAAATTTTTTTGGAAGCCATCACTGTAGTTCTACATGACTTATGTGACAAACACCCATCTCTCCTGGCTGTTCCTATAGCCTTTTTTTCCTTTTTTTAATAGTACTAAGTTTCCTAATATCTCAAAATTATATTAAACTATAATTAATTCAACATCAAATAATATCATATTAAATTAAAAAAAAAAATAACATATTTCAATAATTATTTTTCTATTCATAAAACTCAAACTTAAAATCTTATTTGAAAAAAAAACACTCAATTTTTTCCACTCAAATCAACATTCTTGTCCTTCGAGGCTTTAATTAGATTATAATCGTGTATAAGACTAGGAAGCTTTCCGTCTTTAACCTTTTATCCACAGACAAAAAGGTTATACCATACCTCTACTTTTATTCATTGTGGAAATGAACTCTCGTACCCACTTTTAGAATGAATGACATTAAGCGACCTACATTTTGATTGAAAACAAACTAACCAAAATTATTCATATAACAAAATCATTCATTCTATCATTTCATCTTTTCCCTTCAATAAACATCAAAGCAAACAAACACACAAGTTATCAACAATAATAAGTACCCCGATTGCCCAAGCGCAGCAATGATCATGCGTAAACTCAGATGTGTATGAAAAACTAAATGACTAATTGAAATAGAAGCGCTAGAAAATGGTGGCAAATAGTCTAGCCAACTTTTGTTCTATGTAAAACTCAGACGTCAATGTCAACCAAAACCAATTCAGCACTACAAATGTGCAATCATATCATTCTTTGCATTTTAACTAGCACAAAAAGGACAGACTAATAGATATCTCAGTATCACGATGGCAGTTGAAGAACAGATATGAAGCAAAGAATCACAGCCTTCTTCCACGCCTGCCACCCTTTCTGCGGGTGCTGTCAGTGGGGATTGGGGTGACATCCTCTGCAAAGAACAGCATTGCACGTCAGTTTAATCTATAAATATAAATGTAAAATAAGAAAGACCTGACATATAAAAAAAGAGTGGCCTAAAAGCTTGAGAAATAAAGGATGAGGAGTTATACCTATGCGACCAATTTTCATGCCAGAACGAGCAAGAGCCCTAAGTGCAGACTGGGCACCAGGACCAGGGGTTTTAGTCTTGTTCCCTCCAGTAGCTCGGAGCTTTATATGAAGGGCAGTAATACCCAGTTCCTGAACATAACAAACACAAGAGTAAGTCCATTGGACCATTGAAATGTTAACTACATAACTGTAGATCAATTTCAGGGAGCAAGTCATGACACCTTGCATCTTTG